TTACATAAATCATGCAAAGCTGGATTGAATTGCTATTCTGCTGATATCGTCCAACGTATCCAGAGATTTATGAAATAGAATAAAATAATTTCTCAGATTCTTAATTAGATATCCATGAATTGACATAACTTGTTGTTGGAACCTCACGTCATCCAGACATTCCGGATTAACCCTAGTATATTAGACGGTAAACTATTTATTGGGTTCTGGCTAAGTGAGCTTATCTTAGGACGTAGACATTCATGTGATTCGACGGATTATGCTACAGGGTAAATGATATAATGAATCAAGGATTGACGCCGTTAGCGGACCCTGATTAGTGTGGCGGCCCTCCATGTGGCCCTTCTTCAGGAGAATCTAATTTGGACTTCGAGGATTTTTTTTCCTTATTAGCTAGCCTACTCATTTAGTCTACTGTCGGTAGTCGGTAGTGCCCTTCTACTTGCGAATTATACTCACTATGGGTGGCTAATAACATCCTTTCAATTTCAATGGTGATTTGACCTTTCAAATCCAAACACGGAAGGGACGCGAACTCAGTACTGGCCCTGAGTGAGCTAGACATAATTGAGATAAGCCAGTATAGAAAATTCACCTCACCCAGTCTTTCCAGGCAGTCATTGCTAACTGGAGCTGCCCTACTGCCCAACATTGATCGGTGGCTATTTTGTTGGGGTTCCTGTTTACAACAGGTCGAAAATCTCCAAGGACAACATATCCACACTTTACCCACAATTTCTCCGTGCATTTCCGCATAAACAGAAAACCCGAGCCCCGGCGTTAACCTTTATGTATTTTCCTCCTACTTTCAAAATCCCTCATTACTTCTTTGTGTTTAAGCTCCCTCTCTCCTGCTTTTCCACAGTATTACCCGAGTCGTACAATGCCTCAGAGAAGTAAACCTTAATAGACTATTAGCCAACCTACTCATGGCGAGGGCCGCTTCCACATGATCCAACGTTGTGCATAGTGCTTTCCCATCACTATGTTTCAACCTTTACTTTTCGGTAATTGTTGTTGACACCCTTCCTTTTGAATATCGGTTAAAAAGTCGCTGAAGGCATAATCTTGCAACAGAGCTCACCAAGCCATGTCAGAAAGAGGGGAGCCTTGACCTTCCATCATGGGATTTGCCGTGGGACGTTATGTTCCCGCTTGGCTTCTGGAGTACTACTCGGAATAGGCGGTTGAGCGTTTGTTCCAAGTCGAGTATAGGTATGTATTAGCAGGGCTTGTACGGGTATATGCTCAACTTGATCCTAACTTACAACATTTCATCTCCTGTCATGTCTTTTAACGGGACAATTATATTGCCTCTCCAGGATCTTTAGAAGTGAAGCGTCAAGGTCTTGGAAACTTTGGACCAGCCTCTGTTTCATTTGACACCCCAGGTCGCATTTTTGAATTCATTACCTTCCCATGTCATTTTCTCGCGGTAGAGGAGGGTTGAGGTAAACATTAGAGCTATTCTAGTCACGTAATTGTCTATTTTCATTCAGGCGTCTATTATTGATTTCTATTTTTATAATCATTTGCAATTATCAAACTCAAAGCTTAGCAAGCTTAGTATTTTTTAGAAAAGCAATGAAAAAGTCTTTCTCTCATTCGGCGCGAAAGTGAAATTCGGCCCACTACGTTTCCTAACCCTTTTTTTTTATTCTTCATACCCTCTTGAGCTTGATTGACTGGCATTCAAAGGATCTCTCAGGTAGAATCTTACACCGCCTCCTAACCCGCTAGCTGCATACACAGATTGTAGGTACCTTTGAGAGCAGTGGGAAAGGGAAAGCATGTACATATATGCTGCATGTAGCAAGCGGATTAGAAGTCGGTGTAAGTCACTCTACCTGGGAGATCCCTTAAACGCCAGTCAGTCAAGTTCCAGAGGGAATGAAGAATACGATCTCATAGGAAAGTAGGATGCATGTACCGCCCGGGTTTCGTGCTCGAAGTAGAGGTCGCTGCCTGAGTGAAGAATGCCATTTCTCTCAGCTATCAAGGTGTGATCGTTGATTTTTGCTGATCGGACCTGATTTTCTGCTTTATGAACTGCTTCACGGTAGCACGTGAGCATTATTGTTGCTTTGAGTGATTGATGTTGTTGTGTGTTGTGTTGCCTGTGCGATTTTTCGTGAAAGTGAGCCTCACAATGTAACAATCCGGCTATTTATGATTGTCAAGGAACTAACCCATTGATCAATAACCACTAATCTTATCATTACCAACACGATCAAGTTTGCCAAAAATTTCTTTTTGCAGCACCTCCTTTCCGATTAGAGGCTAGATTGCAAACTCTGATAGATAGACATCGAAGGCAGAATGTTCAACAGAATGGCGGATGGCCCAGTAGTCCACCGAGCCAGCGTTCTCGATGGCTCATTAGTCAAGACGAAGAGCGAGCACGGGCTGAACAGCAAAGAGCCTACGAACAGCAGTACCAGGATCGCCTTCGTCAACAGCAAGACGAAGCTCGACGTCGAGCCTCGTGTAACCCCCGTCCACAACCACCTCCTCCAGCTCCTCAAAGAAGACGAAACTGCCTTCCACGACGAACTCAAGAACTCCGACTTCCTCCGACTCCTCCACCAGTACCAATCAGACGTAATTGTAGACCGAGAACAGACCCACCAACTTACCCTCCGCCACCCGTTTACGCTAGGCGGGTGAACTGTCGTCCGACTACGACACCTCGTCCACCACTACCAACACCTCCACCTCAACGACGTACAAACTGCATTCCTACCTATACTCCTCAACGGCAACAGTACTACAATTGTCAACCAACATATCCGCCACAGCCACAACGTACTCCATGCTATCCTTCCCCACCACCTCAGCAGCCGGTACCGTACAATGGTTGCATACCACAGCGTCCATCCCGCAGTGATGACGCAGGCCGGGGCAACGAATTCCGTGCCAGTCCCGGTTGCATAGCGGCGCCAGTGCCGTCACGTCCCGATGATTGCGAAGGATCAGTGAAAATCGTTTCAGTGAATGCGGCTGGTAAAATCGAACACTACTTGTATCAAAGTGCCAGAGACGCAAATGAAGTTCTTGGTGAGAGTTTGCCACCTAACAAATAGATAAGATAGATAGATAAATAGTTCTAGTGGCTAGTTATTATAGATTTGGTAGTTTCCAGTAGATTAGTAGAGGGAATTGCAGTCTTTCATAGATAGCCGTTTCAGTGATAGCCTAGTGATAGCCACTATCCTCACTCAATGCCGCGAATTCATCTTCCATATTTTCCGATTTCTAGAATCCCCTTCGTATTCACTGCAATTTGTAAGGGTGTCATAAGTAGTTTTTTTCCCTTCTCACCTCCACCTTCTGGGTTCAAAAAATGATCATCCCGCTCTATTTGAGGCGTTTTTTTGCGATGATTTCAGAGCAGTGAGGCAAAACTTCGTCTGCTTGGGATCCCTGTAAAGCTAAGCTGGTAGGGTTTTCGAACTGGTTTTCCTCTCATCTGAGAGGCCCGCTGAACGCAATGCTTATCTGTGGGTGGTCAAGCACTGGCGGGGCGAGCACACTCCTTTTGCACGAGCCCCGATGACCACCAATAAGGAGAAAGTTACGATCCCCCAGGTAACCATAATACGCAATGAGCTCAGAGCACCCATTGTCTTCACCAAAAAAATTTATAATATATCGATATCGATCTATAATTGAGTATTTAACATTACATTTGTTAGCCACGTTCGCCAGCAATGTAAGAGATCAATTCCATCAAGCTGCTGGACGTATCGGTAAACTGCGTGAAAGATTTTTTTTTTCTGAAATTTTCTGATAATTCGAAGTGTGTGTGTGTGACGACCCAGCATGCTTCAACAGTAACAATCAACACCATTCGCCCAAAATGTCTGTTGTTTGCTTGGATGTCGAAGCCTTTCACTACTTTTTGCCGAAAGTATTTTTTTTCAGAACAAGTGGGCGGAAAAGTAGCAGACACTGCTCAAGGCCTTGCTGGAAGCGTTGTGGGTGCTGTAGGTGAGTGTTGTGCTACTTCTATGTTATAAGACTTCATCAGTACGAAATTGGGGTTTGAAGACCTAAGACGGGAAAGCCTATTAAGTGAACGAGACGGATCTGAAAGTCTCGGGAATGTGTTATACAGTAACCCGAAGACACACTCAAGCACCTCCAAGCACAAGTCATATACGACGCAACAAAGGGTACCTCAGATAAGATCCACGGGGTTAGTGGCGGCATTGGGGGCGGGGGTTACTGTGTCATGCGTTCGTGGGATTTTGACATCCGACTTCAGTTAAGTAAAACCTTCATTCTGACTTGAATCGTCATTTCCTGGCAAAATGTGTGACGTCATGCTTTATCCATACTACTATCGTCACTGCGCTTGCTCCACGGCTCGATGACGCCACTTCCTTCCACGTCGTCTAAACTCTCCAATTCAGAAGGGTCTGACCGGAATCCAGAGACATGTCGTATCACCCTTTCCATCATGCTCTAGTAAGTAAGGCCTCAACTCCCGCACGCATCCCCAGGTAGAGGTTTTTCGATTCCGTCTTAATAAAAGAACCGGTGAACAGCCATGAATATGGCTTCAAGGATATATGGCTCCAATGGAGCAATTTTTTAAGCTATGAGAGCAAGCTCCGGAACTCGTACGCTTTACCCAAGTCAGCCAGTCGCTCTCGAAATCTGCATTTTGTTGTTTTAACTGCCTAAACCGGTATAGAATTAAGATTGTAGGATAGAAGTTTAGGGTAATCTCCTCGAAGTCCCACGGCAAGCAGCAGTGGCGTCGCGGTGGCTACGTTAGTAGAATACTGGGGGTTCTAACCTTCCCCTTCTANGACCGGAATCCAGAGACATGTCGTATCACCCTTTCCATCATGCTCTAGTAGGTAAGGCCTCAACTCCCGCACGCATCCCCAGGTAGAGGTTTTTCGATTCCGTCTTAATAAAGGAACCGGTGAACAGCCATGAATATGGCTTCAAGGATATATGGCTCCTATGGAGCAATTTTTTAAGCTATGAGCGCAAGCTCCGGAACTCGTACGCTTTACCCAAGTCAGCCAGTCGCTCTCGAAATCTGCATTTTGTTGTTTTAACTGCCTAAACCGGTATAGAATTAAGATTGTAGGATAGAAGTTTAGGGTAATCTCCTCGTATTCCCACGGCAAGCAGCAGTGGCGTCGCGGTGGCTACGTTAGTAGAATACTGGGGGTTCTAACCTTCCCCTTCTAAGCGCACGGTTGTGCGTAATCCGGTACAGAAAGCATGACGCAATTTTCGGGGTGAAGATACCACCCTCGGACCATAGCGGGATGCGACTAAGCAGTGAAGGGAAGAATAGCTTCCCATAGTCATAGTTAGCACTGCGTTCAAGTTCACATTCGAGCGAGCTAAACCATGACTATGGAAAGCACTTGTCTCTGAGCCTGAGCCTTGGAGAGGTTGACTGATCCTTACGAAGAGGTCGGAGCGATTCTTGAATGAAGTGCACCAAGCGAACTGTACCCTGCTATATTTGGAAATGTAAGCAGTCTCTGGGGCACTTATCAGAACTACGGCCCAACGCGAAATTCGAAAATATTCTGACCGTCTCAATTTTGATCCAATCAAAGCATCTACATATGTATGTGCATGAAAGCGGTCAATTTCTTCACAGATGGTAGCGGTGGAGTGCTGCCTTGGAACGGTTCAATTAGAAGGTTCCATTTCTTAGGTAATGCAGCAACTTCGGTCAAAGATCACGCCGCTCAAGGACTGCAGAAAACTGGCGAAGTTATTGGTGGAACATTGCAGAAAACTGGCGAAGTTATTGGTGAGTCGACTTATCGTCACAACTTGGGAGTAATCGTTTTCTTCTCGCAGGGGCTTCATAGCTATCAGCCGAGCCTATTCGTTTGCTCTAGAACTATAAATTCCGTTAAGTATCGATTAGATGATTTATTAATTTTATTTAAACTGACTTATAGGAGATGCCGGCGCTGCTGTAAAGGACACGGCTTCAGGAGCTGCACATTGGACAGGTGTGTTTCACATTACAGAGATATTGAACGGGCTCGGAAGTAGTGGTTTGACGGGCTTTCAAAAAACTTGTTAAAAGTAATTTTTGATATGCTAGGCTTTACGGAAATCGCATTCACTAGCAAGAATGCTCTCAAACTTCTTTTCAGTTTGCCTCGCGTTAGGGTAGTCCTCCAAAATCGGAACTCCGCACTGGTTTTATAACGCATGGGCTGTCTAATCATCTATAATTCGCTGCTTCTCCAGTACCAGTAATTTGCTCTTTATAACTGGTTCTCTCTTTGACGTTCTGCTCGATTCTTTGATAGTTGTAGTGCTACATTGTTCTTAGGTCCTTTCTCAAAATACTTGAGCCATGCTATTCATATCATGGAACTCGGAAAAAAGCCAAGCCTCGATATCAATAACGAGCTTCTAGCGAAGAGACCGATCGCTTGGTCTTTGATCGCCAAGTTTGATGTGATACCTCCACCTGCTAGAGCCATCGTGAACGAGAACCTCTTTGCGCATAAAAATCAAGTGGGAAAAGAAAAAGGAGAGATTTGGTAGATGGTGGCTTGTTACGGTTGCACGATAACAAAGTAAAAACCTGGCAAATCCTAGCAGAATAAACCCTCGCCTGAACCTTCGTTTTTAACCTCCCAAACAAATTTGGTCCACTATCTGAGCTCAGAAGGTTGTGTCTGTATAGAAGCCTTGTTTTTGGTCCAAGTTTCTATCCACAGATCATGCGTGTGTGATAGGGCATCTTTCGTCTTCTCACAACCTTTGCCCTTGAACTGCCGATTACCTCGAACGAAAGGAAGCCCGAGATTTTCCCATTCAGCGTTGATGCATTTCAGAAGAGCCTAGAAAGACGCTCAGTTCCGTAGATTGTAGTAATGTTTTCTTTTTTTGGTGATGACGCTGTCATGTGGGAGGCCCATGCCAGAAAATACGAAGAATCTGTCCTCTTCCTCGCATGGGGCATACCCCATGTAATAAATCTCAATATAAAAGGGCAACCGTAATCGTTTGGCGATCTTCGAACCATTGTTACTCTGAAGAATCTTTGCCACACTCGATTGTCATAGAGATCTTTGAAGGTCTGCTGATGATAGTGGGCATCAAAGATTATCAGCAGACTCGGAGAAATGTTGTCGCGCTTAGTCAGTTGTCCTTGTTTACGCGTATTTCACGGTTGTTGTTGATGCCGAAGACAATCACATCGAAAGGCGTATATATAGCGATTTGAGCCCTCACACAAGTCAAAACCTCTTGTCTGTATATACTACTGTATATATTATCCAATGATGAATTCTTTAACGTCCAAAAACTATTTCATCGTCCTTCTGGGTGTTGGAGTTCTCTTAACCCAGACGATGATCAATGCAAGACCAGGTACTTTTTTAGGCAGTTTTGTATTGGGAATGATTTTCAATGTGCTTCTCAATTTTATGAAGTTAGAAATCGTTTTTGATATTTGAACCAGATTGTTTCAGCCGACAAAGCTGGTGAAGTTGTCCACGGAGCTGGAGCCGCGATCTGTGAGTGCCTTATTACTGGACTGATGTTTTGTGGGGCGATAGAATTCTTGGAAGCAGTTGTAGTACCTTGGCTTTTTTCTTGCCCACATCCCGGAAAGAATAGCCACCGACCTTGTTCATCTATTTCGGTAACTCTCAAACGTAACCGTCAGGTACTCCCTAAGAACGTTGGTTACCTGGTAGCCTTTACCCTTTATTCTTATCTCTAACTTCAGCCACGAGCTCGGCTATGGGCAATGGCAAACGAGCCCATTGTCTGTTGGCAACGAGGCAACGGCAAGTTTGCCGTTGCCCATAGCCGAGCTCGTGGCTGAGGTTAGAGATAAGAATAAAGGGTAAAGGGTACCAGGTAACCAACGTTCTTAGGGAGTACCTTGTGTTCTGTTTCCATTATGAACTAGCATTACAACGGCGTGAAGATAATTTGCCCTCCTGGATTGTGCTTGGCTAGTGAGGCGACATGAAAATTTGCTTCCTGTGTAAATCTTGCCCCAATCCATCGACTCCGAAATGGTGCTCCGAAGGGGCCGACTATGGTTGTCCCTAAACTACGTTTGTGTAGAACAGTGGAGCAGCTTGCGCCATTTACTAGCGTTATCTTATAGTAGGGATAGCATAGGGGCAGTAGTGACCGTTCACAGAGGCCCTGATAAGCGCTGCTACTCGAATTAAGCAACAATAAAAGAGCAATCAGGACCTTAAAACCTTTCTATGTCGTTTTTGATGAAATTTTGCTTTCATTTCAGCTGACGGAGCCGAATGGACGAGAGAAGAAGCGAATGCAGCAGCCGCTAGAGCCCGTGAAGGTTTAGGTAAATTTCAAAGTCATAATCATTTTGAGGTCATCGGTTCCGCAGTGATGGTGGATGGTCCGATACCGTTTAATTATTGTCGGACTCCTATACTGACACTGTAAATTCACTCGAGTGGTGGCTCTAACAGACTAACAACACTGTGAACTTCTAATCAGTCTTCTTGATTGTTTACAATTTGGGAACACACTCTGAATCGGATAATCGGGAAGAAAGATGTAGCAAGATTGCTGAATCGTGAGCGAAGCAAAGCAAAGATTGTGTTTTCACCTAATGGGAAAACATTCTCGGATAACGAGCTTACCTTATTACTACAAAGTAATAAACGACTTCTATAGGAGAAGCAGCCCATGCTGCGAGAAGCGGCGCCGAGGCTGCCGGCGATACGGTTAAAGATGCCGCTGGTGAGATTTCTACGCAAGTATGGTCTTTCACTATAAGTGAAGGTTCATATGTTTACCTTTTGAGGTGGAGCTTGGGGTACGTTGAAGAACACCGCTGGCAATGTCAAAGACGCAGCAAGTAAGATGAAATCGCAACTTTCCATTAGAATAGTGTAGTAGACTGTGGTGGATAGTAGTAGTTTGGTAGTTTTAGTTTTAGGATAGTAGGTGTATTTGTGTTATTCCGTGAGTTGAAAAGCAGCCTGCTCAACATTGTAATCCCGCTATATGAGATCTTTTGTTCTCATTTGTATCATCTGACCATCGCAGGCTACGCAGGGAACTCATAGAAATAACTGTAGTACTTCATTTTTTCCCATTCTTGACTAGAGCCCGAAAAAATAGTCACCGATCTTGATCATATGTTTCGGTACGACTCAAACGTGGCAATCAGATGGCGGGACTCATTTGCCATTGTCAGTATTGGAGCTTGGGGTTAAGGCTAGAGATGGGATAAAAGGGTAATGGGTATCATGTAATCTATGCTCTTGAAAGCATCCTGCATTCTGATCCTATTTCTAAGATCTTTGGCCTCCATGATTATGGTTATCATTATAACTGTCATGATTCTTATACTCTAATGGATTATAATAGACCGGTAAACGAGGACATGATGAAGGTGATTTGACCTTTCCAATTCCTGCCGAGTGCGGTGACATAAACATTTCTTTTCTTGCTAATAGAGAAGTCCTAGTAACAGACGCCCCGTATAAAAGCAAGAAACAGTACATAATTCTACACCAATCATAAGGGATAAAGTGGAGGATAAAGTCTCCGGGCGTTGATCAGTCCCGTCTGAAGGATGCGCCGACGCATTCGACTTCTATTCAGAATCGTAGTGGCGTGTCCTGAATGCGTGTGCGGCCTATACAATGACTTGCGGTGGCTAGCCGATGTACAAGTCAGTGCTTTTACCCTCCTAGACGAATCTGGTACCAATTAACCGCTCCAGGAGGGATGGAAGGCTTGGTTGGCTAACGCGGATGTCGATCCGGGATTCGAACCCGTGACAATGCGTGTGTAAAGTGTGGCACTTGCCATTACACCACCTCCACCACGCACCGATAATAGAAATAATCATTATTATTATGGTCTTGCACCAGTCGATCGACCCCGAAGGGATGCACGGAGAGAGCGATTTTGGTTGCCCCTGAACTACGGTTGTCTAAATAGTGGAACATTCCACCATTTAGTGTTGTTCAATCATAGTTGACGGTAGCATAGGGGGAAGACTTTCCAAGGAGTTTTGTAAGTCGAATTGACCAAAAATAGAGAAATGTACTAAAGTTAGTGTGTGTGTTATGATGATCCTTTTATCCTTCCTGATGAAACGTAGCTTTCACAACCCCATTTCAGCTCACGGAGCCGAATGGACGAAAGAAGAAGCTAGTGCAGCTGCCGCTAGAGCCCGTGAAGGATTAGGTAAATTTCAAAGTCATAATTATTTTGCCGTCAATGATGCCAAATACTGGTGATTGGTTCGACACCGTATAATTGTTGAAGAGCTCCTACGCTCACACTGTAAATTTATTCAAGAGGCAGCTCTAACAGTCTAACAATACTGTGGACTCACAATCAGTCTTCTTGATCACTTACAATTTGGAACGCACTCTGGATCGGGTAATCGGGAAGAAAGATGTGGCAAAGTTGCTGAGTTATGAGCGGAGCTGGGCGAAGATTGTTATTTTTACCATGTGGGGAAAAACATTTTTGGAAAAATATTGTTTTGGCTGTAAAGACGCGACGTACTTGCCTTATCATTACAAATTAACAAAGGATATCTATAGGAGATGCAGCCCATGCTGTCAAAAGCGGCGCCGAGGCTGCCGGCGATACGGTTAAAGATGCCGCTGGTGAGATTTCTTCACAAGTATGGTCTCTCACTATGAGTGAAGGTTCATAGGTTTACCTTTTGAGGTGGAGCTTGGGGTACGTTGAAGAACACCGCTGGTCATGTCAAAGATGCAGCAAGTAAGATGAAGTCGCAACTTTCCATTAGAGTAGTGTAGTAGATTGTGGTGGATAGTAGTAGTTTAGTAATTTTAGTTTTTTAGAATAGTATGTGTATCGGCTTTTAATTCAGTAAATTGAGAAATAGCCTGCTCAATATTGAAATCCCGGTATCAGGAGATCTTTTTTTTCACCTGAATCATCTAATCATCGCAGGCTATAGTAGTCCAGTGGACCATCTTCAGTGGAGGAATACAAGTCATAGCACTCATTGAGCCGAGAACTTCTTCGTGGTGAAGCCTGGTCATCGTGTAGGCGACCGTCCTGATGTCCGTTTGATGTCTCGAAGGATTCAGTAAGTGAGCGCCTTCGTCCGACAGTCATCACAAGATCACATTAAGTTTTGGACCATATGATTCTCGATTCATGGGCAGTGGCCTCAATGATCCTCTTTTGTGGATGGAGCTCGGAACCCTGGATTCTCTTCTACATTTGCTTGTATAGAGGAAATTCGAGCACAGTCCTTTCGACAAGCCGGCTGCCTGTATGCTCATCGTGCTTTAGTAGGGTAAGAGCCTCTGAGGCGTATGTATGCCAGAGCAGGAAGGACTGCAAACTGAAAAGCGGAGCCGTGTGTACGTTCTTCTTCTTCTTCACTATTTACTCAATGCTCCTGAATGCTACCTCGGGTTTCCCTTTTCTCAGCTACAGAGCTAAGCCGTTCATCATGTTGACTTCTCGACCCAGGTACACCTAGCTAAAGCGCTTGGATATGTTCATTCTGTTCAGCGTCCAAGAAGCATCTTCAGGTACCAATCCTTTTCTCACTACGCGTCGTTTCCGTCGGCTTCAGTCATAAGCCGATCGTTCCACAAGGATCGCTCAGCATCCTTCCCCTCGCCTGCACGATGTACGGCCTCATAAGCATGATGTCGAAGCAGAGATGATATAAGAAGCAGCCGTCGCCTTCACTCCCAGGCCGCCGTCCCATTCCAAATGAAGCATGCTTGATGTTCTCGGGAGCGGCTCTGAAAAGTCTAGGCGAAATGGTCTCGGTGTCCAATCTGGTGATGTTCCCTCCATGACTACTTTTCCAACTATCCAGATTCTCAGGATGCATGAAAATGAGTCGTAGCTAGTTTTGTGTAGTGAGTTTTGTAGCGTGATGTAAATATCGAGTTGTTCTTCTCTTTAAAATCCAATTTCTGCAGGTGAAGCCGCCGATAGTGCACATTCTGGAGCTGTTTCGGCTGGGAGAACAGTCGGCGAAGTCGCAGGTATTGCATTAACGTTCTGTGGTTGTTGTGTTGTGATTTTTGTGTTTTCTTTTTAGGCGGAGCCGTCGGTATTGTGAAAGGTGGCGCTGTTGCTATAGGAGAAACAGCATGTAAGAACATAGTCAAAAGTTACAGAAAAGTTCTCTTTTTTAGAATAAAATTGCTCCAGCTGACCCGCCGTAGTAAGAGCAGGACTATACGATTATGCTAGCGACTTTATTTCCTGCATCCTACTATGCCCTCTATTCAATTCACTGGCTTTCCTAGTTCAGTCCCAGTTGTAAAAAAATCTGAGAAAGTGGGTGTGAATTAATGGCGGAGAAATAATTTACGCCATCACTTTTGACCAAAGCTCAGTTGCTCATACGTCGATGGCAAGCCATGATATATACCCTCTTCTACGGGATTGCAGGAATTCTTGTTGNTATATGGGTGATCATCGGTTCCACGAGCATTCTATAGGCATTTGTGGGCAACTAAGAATTATGTATCAGGAAACCTACAAACTATGTTTCAGCCGATGCAGTTGGTTCAGTGGCATCTGGAGTAGTCTCAGCCGGTGAAGCTGTTGGTGATGTAGCAAGTGAGTTGGCCTATATTCGCAGACAAAGCTGCTTGACACTTCTCCTGATTTTCTGAAATTTACCATAATCTTATCGATAAGTCTTTGAAGAGGAATGAAAGGAGGTGTGAGTGAGGTACAGGTCTTTTTCTTCTCCAAAGTTTTCTATATGTCCATTCGCGGTCCAAATCACCAGCTTTCAGTTTTTATCGTCAATAACTCCCTCTCTTCGATGAAATGCTTTAGTCTTGTTCAATTGAAACCATCGGTCATTACTGAAAAAAGGATGACTTACATGCTATGCTATTTACGTTTTTTGTGCACTAATGAACTTGAACTTCAGGCAGTGTTGCTGATTCTGCAAAATCTGGAGTTGTTGCAGCTGGAGAGACAGTTGGTCATGCAGCAGGCAAGTTTAGCATTTTCCGTTCTGAACTGTTTACCTGAAACAGCATTCAGACCTTTCCTTCACCCATGAGCAACTAGGGGCGGAGGTAGTGTAGTGGCAAGTGGCGCACTATATCACACGCACGGTCAGGGGTCCGAATCCCGTATTGATGCCCGCCTAGGCCAACCAAGCCTTCCATCCCTCCGGTGTCGGTGAATTGGTACCAGACTCGTTTGGGAGGATAAAAGCACTGATTTGTACATCGGCTACATCGGCTGGCCACTGCAAGTCATTATATAGGCCACATACGCACTCATTACGCCACTACGATTCTGAATGGAAGTCGAGTGCGGGGCGCATCCCTCAGACGGGATTGATTAACGCCAAAAACGTTATCCTAACGTTATGAGCAACTAAATTTCGTAACAGGCTCTTACCACTGTTGAAGTTTGACATGGGAGTCGGGTAGTGGTGAGCGCTTGCGATTTTGGAAGCACTTGTAAGGTCTACTTCTTCTGAGTTGCATAGGCTAATAGTTCACCCAGTATAAGGTGTACTTATTAGTTGAAAATGAAAAACAAGAAAAAAATGAGGTTATCATCGATCATGATATGGTTTCTGCTCTCTTGTGAAGCGAGTTGAATGTGTCTCAAATTTTACTATGGCAGGATTCCAGTTCATTCTCTCTTAGAGACCCATTTTCACTGTGACTGCTTCTAGAAAAAAAGGGTATTTTACTCAATTGGAAGAGGAGGAGATACTATGCTTATATTGGATTCTTGGCCTCCAGGGCCGGCCGTTGAACAAATCAACATTTCGACCCTATTAAATAAGCCTGATACCCATCAACCGACCCCGGTAAGGAGATGGACCAATTAACTTGAGCCCAAATGTAGGAAAACAAAAACGTTCTCGTCACTGTAAGTCTTATATACCCGGGTATGATAGTGAAGTCTTCGTATACAATGTGTGTCCAGTTGTACGTCGTAAAGTGCAAGCTACCGCTAAGATAGTGTCAGCTGTAATTGAAGTTGTATTGAAAACTTAGCACAAACCCTTTCAAAGCATCGCAGCCAAGCAAATCGTCGAACAACAATTTGGCAACAATAGAACGTTTCAAAGGGCGTATTACGTCGATTCAAAGAGTCTCATGGGTGAACCGGCATAGTAGTCGGCAGGTATAGGCACATGGACTCAGTAAACAATGAAAGTTAGGGGGGAGAGTTCAGACGGAATGGGAGCGCTCAGTCGCGCCGGAACTGCATCCTCTGCTTGTTAATGAGGGAGATAATCGAGAGTATGATGCAGCTTCAGAGCTATTGTCGTCTCAGTTCACAGAATATCTATTCGAATTGACTTTGCTAGTTTACCTCAAGCAATATGTACGTTTCCAAAGGAGGCTATGTTAAGCCCGTAAGAGTACCAAAAATACCATTTGACCATATATGTAGTCCAATGGCGTGGGCCTGACTAGCTGGATTTGGGTGGTCATTCTTCAGACAGTCTTATACGACCATTCAACGCGGACTTTTATGAAAGCCAAGCTTTTAAGGTACCGCTGCCGGTGCCGTTAGGGATGGCGTGGTCACTGCCGGCCAAGCTGTGGGAGATGCAGCAAGTAGGTGTCAAATTGTAGCACAACTAACCCTTCTAGTATTAGATAGCTAGAGGTAGGAGTAGTACTGTAACAATAGACTTCTAACAACTAAAAAGTACCATTGCGGCATTGACTCTGAAGAAAATCAGTGTTTGTGATAGATTCCTTTCCTTCACACCTAAAATTTTTGATATTTTAGGCACAGCTGCTGAAACTGTCAAAGATGGTGCGTCAGCAGCTGTAGGAGCTGTTGGTGATGTAGCAAGTGAGCTATTCTTTTCACAATGTAAAACTCTACTGGTTAGGAAGTCCACAAAAAGAAAGACAACCCACGATGACTGCTA